GAATTTCCTCTTTATTCGTGTGCTGTGCTGTGGGTTTGGGTTTGTAAGACTGTGGCAATATTGACAGAGTTTTATGGATTTTTTGGACACATTTATTTTCTCTTTTGTATGTCTATATTTTTTCCGCTTACTTTGCCAGAATTTCTTTATTTTGGAGTATTTCCATTTTTACAAAAGCTTAATTCTAAATGTAAAACAGGTTATTATTTTCTTTTTAATTAATCTTTAATTACCATAGTCATACATAAAAACACTGCTTCAAGCGCAGAATTTTTCTCACCTTCAAGGGAATACTGAAACCACCTTTATTCAGCACTACTTGCCCTCCCCAATCATGGCCTCCAACACCCCTCTCACCACTGTCTGTCATCAATTTGGAAAGGTTATTCCAAACTTTATTATCTTTTTGTTCTCATAGAAAACGAACAGTCTTGTGAACTCATCTCCCACATAATAAGTCCCCCACCCTGGGATCGAGGCACCCAGACTCTGCCCTAATTTGCTGTGTGACCTGGGGGAAATCGTTTGCCCCCTCGGAGGCTCAGCAGGGGGTCTTCCTACTCCTAGTATTGTAGGAAATGTGATTGGAAAGTAAGCTGGGTCCAGATCCGTCATCTTTGATGGAGGCAATGAAACTTGAGAGAGACCCAGCACCATACCCTGGCTCCTGGTCCTGCCATGGGCAATCGGCCACCAAAAATTTTACCAACCAAGGCCTGCCTCTCCCTCTCTCTCCCCATTTCTGCCACAGGTCACTTACTCATTCAACAAACATTCATTGAGTCGACACTAAGAGCCAGGTGGGTGGAGGGGGACAGAGAAGCACACACACTGGTCCTTAGACAAGACAGACTATGGCCGTGTCCCACGATGCTGGGGGCAAGAGGGAAGCTTTGCTCTGCGCGGGTTCTGGGAGGAGATGCCTTTTCAGTGGGGCTAAAGCCCAAGTGAAATTTTAATAGGTGACAAGGGGCATCCCAAGAGGGCACAGCTTGAGTGAAGGCCTGGAGGTGGAGAAAGCTGCAGCATGCATTAGGGAACTGGTAGAGTGGCTGGCGAGCCTGGAGAGTACAAATGTGAGAGAGGCGATCTATCGGAGCGTAAGTTGGGCCAGACCTGCAGGGCCTCAGATGCCAAGCCAGATGCCGGGTGGAGGAGCTCAAACTCGCCCCTGAGGGGTGTCAGTGGGGGAGGGGTGAGCTCAGACTGCATCTCAAAAAGCTCCTCTGGCCCCGCAGCTTCTCTCATATTCTCACCAGTCCCGTGAGGTCTGGGATGTGATTCTGCTTTAAAAGAAGTGGAAGCCGAAACCTTAAGGAGGTGAAATAAAGTGCCTGTGGCCCACAGAGCTTAAGCAGCATGGCTGGGGCTGAGATCCTACCCCGGGGAAGGGGCAGTGGGGAGAGGGGATGCATTGTGACAGTGGAGCTGAGGACACCATGACCAGGTCGGTTTTTCCATCTGCAAAATGGACACATGGGGAGGGCCACCCCAATTGGGTGCCTGTTCTCTGCTCCCCACAACCTAGGACACACAGATCCTGCCTCGAACCGGCCACCAGCCACACTCCCTTTCGAAGGTCCTGAAAGTTCATACCTACCTCTTGAATTTTTCCCCAAGTCTCCAGACCTTACCTTTACCTCAGCCCACCCTGCCTCAGGGGAGTCTGGCCCCCCCTCCTGGACTTGCTCAGGCCAGACGTTGCTCATCTACCATTAGTCACCAGTTGGTAGAAAAGCTGAGGGCTTCAAATGCCCTATCTTGGTCCCACTACTGCCTCATCGTCCCTCTCCTCCCAGCTCAGCCGTCGAGGGTGATCTTTGGCCTGTGGGCCCCTTGTCTTTGGGGAATGGTTCAGCCAGCCAGGCCCTGGGAGCCCAGCTGTGCTGTGTGACCTCAGGTCAGGCAGTTTTCCCAACCTCTTTGAAACTTAATCTTTTTCCTTTCCTTCCTTCCTTCCTTCCATTCTTTCTTCAACTCTCTCTGACTCATCCCTCTTTCTTTCTCTCACGACACAAACATTTATCGAACATCTGCTATACACCAGACACCCTGGGTCAGAAGCATGAGCCACTGTCCTCTGAGGCCTCACTTGCTGAGGGCTATAGGACTAACCGTGACTCAGGTCCCTGAGGCCTATCCTTGGGGATGGTGGTAGCAGATAGGACTGACCCCTGAACCATGGGAGAGTCAGTACAGGCTTCTGAACCAACCCTGGTCTCCACGTCCGACTTCTTAACTATGTGACTTTAGGCAAGTCACATCACCTATCTAAGCCCTGGTTTCCTCATTTAACAAATGACAAAAGTCACATCGTGAGATTTAAATGGAACATCTGGCTGGTAGTGGGTTATTCAAAAGTTCTAAAAACTCACCTTTGTCTCCATCTCGAGGCCTGGAAATGCTTACGGAAGTGAAGGACAGATCTCTCCGGTGGCGACCCTGGACACAAGACTTATTCAGAAGGCAGAGAGTTCTTCTGAGCACCACCCACCACATTTCTGCATTGTCTGCAACCTGCTTCACCTTCTTATAGGAATCTCCCTTTCTTGGGGAAGGAGAGTCCTGACTCTTGATAAAATCACCATAAAAAGTTTTAGGTGCCATTTATGGAGCACTTACTATGTGCCTGGCCCTGAATAGTCATTATCTCTAACCCCCAGGGGCGGGAACTCTTCTTATACTCATTTTAAAGTGGAGGACACTGACACTGGAAGTGGTCTAGTCACTTGCCCAGGGTCACACAGTCAAGAGAGACCATTCCACAGCAATTACCCTGCACAGGAGCATGAAGGGCCACTGCCTGCACTGTCTGGGGACTTTGAGCCCATGACCAACCTCTCTGGGCCTGTTTTCCCCTCAGTAAACCAGGATTTTGAATGCTTACTCGCCCAATGAGGTAAGACAAGGCAGGGTTTCCCAGCACTTGTGAACGGATGGGAAAACCGAGGCCCATGTGGGGCAAAGGTCTCCAGTCACCGGGCCTGGAATCCAGACCTTTGGCCTCTGCCTGCCACTTTTCGGAAGTCAGTCCTGACCCTGACTGGCCCTATCATCCTGGGGTTACTCAAGAGACTGTGTCACTCAGGTGGCCACAGTTCTGTGGAAAGGGAGAGAGGAAGGAAGACGAAGTAGCCAGTTGGGTCAGAGACAGGCGGTGGCTCTGTGCCAAGCCCCATGCCGGGCACTGGAAATGACCTGACCGGTATTCTAAAAAGGCATGCGTGCATCCTGTCCCCCAGGGGGATCCCAGGCAGGGGTTATAAAGGAAAATTAGTACAAGTGGAGAACATAGTATTCTCAATGGAAAAAGATGGATGAAGGCAAAATCCATTCTTTCATTTGGAGCAGGGCTGACACTTACGGACCTCATACAGCCTGCGAAGCCTGACTAGCCCCTTGCCTCCTATTTCTCTTTGAGGTCCCTGTCCTTCAGGGCCAGGTTCTGGGACACTTGGCATTTTTGCTCCAAAACTTAGGGACCCCAGTTATTGAGTGCTCACTGTGTACTAGATACCTGGCCTCGATCATTTTGTTGAGTCTTACTCCAGGCCCATGAGGGACGAATCCTTGCTCCCATTTTGCAGAGGGAGAAACCGAGGCCTGGAAAGTGGAAATACCTATCTGTGGTCATACAGCTGCTTAGAGCAGAGTAGGCTCTCAAACCCTGGCTTCCTGTTAGATGTTCACTTACTCTGCTCTTCTTCTGTGTTCCCACCAGCTTCAGGAAAGTTTCTGGAACAATATCTGTAAAATGGGGCCGTTACGAAGTCCACCTGTGGGGCCATTTTGTCATGAGTTTGTTCACTAAGACCCCAGGCAGGGCCTGTTTGACCCAAGGACAAACATCCACTAGAGCAACGCGAGTTTGTTCTCCGCCCTGCGTCACACAGGAATAGAATCTGGGGCCAGCTCTGTAGGCCAAATACATCAATAGATACAGAACTTATTCCAGAAAAAGGACTGGGGGAGGTCCACAGGCCCCTGTCTCTCCAGGGACACTTCCTGCTCAGGCTTCGTGGTAGGTAAGAAGCATAGGAGGCAAGGGGACCAGAGGTACCAAGATGGGTGATGGCACCTCCCCAGGGTGCTAGGTGTGAGGGGTCAGAGGTTGAGTCCTTTGAAAATTGGCATTGTTCTCTTCTGGCACACAGTGGGTCTGCAGGGAAGATTAGTGAAGGGAGGGGTAAGTGCAGGGAGGGATGAGTGAATGAGTGGATGGATGGATAGATGATTAGATGGATTGAGGGATAGAGGAGATTGGCACATTATCTGGGTTTTGCTCCAAGAAAAGGTGTGGGTGTGCCTGCCTTTGTGAGTATGTCTGTATCGGTACATGAGTCTGAGTCTGTATGTGGGCCCACCTCTGAGTATCTCCATCTTTGCGTGTCTGTGGGTGCCTCAGTCTGATTTGGTGTCCACATTCGATGCTGTTTCGGTGTCTGTGAGGTCTGTCCGTGTGTGTCTGTGAGCTGGGTGCATTTGGACGCCTGTTTATTTGTGTGTGACTTTTGGTGGGTACCTGTGTGTCTAGCTGTGTTTTTGTCCTGGCATGTCTTTGTGGTTTTAATCTGATTTTGTGTCCATGTCGCTGTGGCTGTATGTCCAGGTTTGTCTGCTGTATCTCTGGGAGCACGCCTGCGTCTCTGTGTAGCCACATCCCTATGTCTCTGATTGTGTGCCTGTCTGCTCCACATGTGTCTGTATCTGCGTGTGTGTGTTTTTGTGTCCAGGTGTCTCTGTCACCCAAGGTCCGATGCTGTGGGTCCAGGTGTGTCTGTGTGTCCTGGTCTAATCGTGTGCCCCTGCCCTCGTGTCTCAGCCCTGTGCTCAGTCTGCTCCCCCAGGGGGAGCCCTTGCCTGGCCACAGCTCCCTTCCTTCCCTGAGCTCCTGCCCCAGCCGGCCAGTCCAGAGCGTGGCCCAGACTGGGCAATAGTAGCCTCCCCAGGTCCCCGCCTTCCCTCGTGCCACGCCCCCTGCCCGCCCCAAAGCGGCTATAAGTTCCCGAGCTCTCAGCCTCTGCAGCGCCTGCCTCCAGTGGTCGTTACTTGGAGTGTCCTACCACGAGTCAAGTCGAGGGAGTCGAGTCGACTCGAGGAGCTGCTAATACCACCTGACCATGGCCGAGGGTGAGTATTAGGGTCAGCACCACACGACCCTGTGCCTGGCTGTTCCTCCCTTGTCTCAGGGATCTCAGTGCAGTAGGGGTCAGGACAGGCTTGGGCTCAATCCGTAAGTCCCCGATGTGGAGAACAGGAGGATTGGGTTGGATGAGAAGTGCCTGGCTCCTAGTCCTGGGTGGGCTTGGGCTTCAGTTTCCCCATTCCCGGGACATTAACCCTTGCCTCCCTGGATCAGATGAGGCAATGAAACATGAAATCATGCTGTAAACTGTAAAATATTGTGCTAGTCAACCATTGTCCCTGCCTTCAGTCAGTTAGTGAGGCTGGGTCCCTGCTGTGTGTCAGGTGGTGTGACGCTGTACAGGGGGTGCTGGCCTGGCCTCAGAGCACTTAGCTTTGGTTAGTCCCTGCCAGCTGGAAGGAGGCATGCATGCTGTCCCTGGTGATGTTCAAGTCAGCCATGGCTGACTCCTTGGCCCTGAGGGCCAGAGAGGACGTTCCAGCATCCTATGGAGGAGGAGTGAGCTGAGAGCAGACATGTTCCTCTAGATCTCTTCTGGCCCTTAAGTTCTGCGACTCTAGTCCTTGGCCACTTGTTGAGTTTCAGTTTCCCCTCCTGAAAAACATGGATGATAATGACAGCCCTTGGTACATCTGTGAAGGCTGAAAAGAGTGGAGAAGGGGCTCAATTAATGTTTTACCGGCCCCCCATACACACACACACACACACACACACACACACACACACACACACACACGCTGGCAGTGTTACCATCCCAGGAGAGGGATTTCTACAGTGGAGGGTGTCCCTGTACTAATATTGCTGGACCCAGCATCTCAGCTGCCTCTTGGGTCATGTCCATTTGCAGATGACCTCTGGACCACTGCAGCCCCCGGGAAGAAGGTGTGAGGAGAGGGAATGTGGAAAGGGACATGAGGCAGGTGTTTCTTTCTACAGTCACTGGGCACTTTACACCTCACTTTTGAGATATCCATGACAGGATGCAGGAGACCTGGATCGATGTCCCAGTAGAAGGACCGACGTGCTGGGTGACTTTCAGCAAATCCTTCCCCTGGGCCCCATTTGGACCACATACTTCTCAAGGGCCGCAGGGCTCTGAGAGTCTGGCTTGCCCATTCCCCCCACCCTATAGGCTTCCAAATCTTGACCTTGAGCTTGCCAAGATTAAAAGGTTTGTGCTTTGCTTTGACTTCCACCCACCCCATCACCCCATCTCTGCCTTGGTCTTCAGATCCCTCTGAAACTATAAATTAAATTTTCACATATCAAGTTCCTGCCCTGGGATAGGCCCTGGGGAAAAGGGTGTCTCAATATCCTCTCCTGGGACTCACAACAGCCCTTTGAGGCTTCAGTGAGGGAGGCACAGAGAGGGAGAGACACCTGTCTAGGAGCACAGCAGAACTGAGATCCAGGTCCAGCAGAGTCCAAAATCTCTGTCGTTTAAAAACCCTTTTAATTATGGAGAATATCAAACATGCATAATAGTAGAGAGAATAGAATACTAAATGCCTACGTTATCACCCAGTTCCAACCACCAGCAACCTATTGTTACTCCTGCCTCCCACACCTCCATGTCACTCCTGCCCCATTATTTGGAAGCAAATCCTAGACATCACATAATTTCATCTGTAAATATTTCAATATATATATCTCTAAAGAATATATATATATATTTAGACATAAACAAATTAACAAAAATTCCTTGATATCACCATTAGTCCATCAGTATTTAAATTTCCAGTTGTCTCATACATGTAAATGTTTTTAAATAGTTTTTTTTTTTTTAAATCAAAACCTAAATAAGGCCCACACAGCACAATGGAGTGGAATGTTTCTTAAGTTTCTCTTAATCTATAGGTTCTCTCTTCAACATTTTTTCTCATTTTTTTCCGTATAATTTAGTTGTTAAAGAGATCAAATCCTTTGCCTATAGTTTCCCTGAGAATGAATTTTGTTGATCATGTCATTGTTCTTTGTTTAACATGTTCGTCAATCCTCTATATTTCCTGTAAATTGGAAATTGAACCTAAAAGGCAAAGCCTATGTAATCAACCTATTACCAAATACTGTGCTTGCTTTAACCCTCCAAGGACGATAGAACAGCTCACGTTTAGTAAGTGTTTATTATGCACCAGTCACTGTGCTGCTAAGTGGCTCACAACAGCCCTTTGAGGTAGATCCTGCTATATGGGGAAACTGAGGCCCAGAAAAGTTGAGTTGCCTGAGGTCACACACCTGGGAGGTGGCAGAACCTTCATCCAGGACTGGTCACCATTATCGAGAAAGAGCTGGCTCCCTGGAGGCCCCCGTGTCCAGGGAGTGCAGGCGTGTGGCAGTGGGGGTCACAGCTGGCTGAAGGATGCACCATGGCTCATGTCCCTCACTGTCTTTGTAGATCTGGTTCTGGAGAGATGCGACCTGGAGCTGGAGGCCAATGGTCGTGACCACCACACGGCAGACCTCTGCCGGGAGAGGCTGGTGGTGCGGCGGGGCCAGCCCTTCCGGCTGACACTGTACTTTGAGGGCAGAAACTACGAGGCCGGTGTGGACAGCCTCACCTTCAGTGTCGTGACTGGTGAGTACCTGCCACCCTACTCGACCCTAACTTGTCCTGTTCTGTGATTTCATCGTCCTCTGACAGACAATGGGGATAGGTGACTTCATTCCTCTTTGTACCCCTGGGAAATTCCCAGCAGTCACTAGCTCCATGTCACAGATGAGGGAACTGAGGCATAGAAAGCCGAGAAATGTCACCTCAGGCCACGCAGCCTTGTAAACAAGTCTGTGCTGCTGGACACCTGGATGCCTAAAAACCTGTCCTCACCAGGGCTGGGGTCAGCTTTCTACCACACAGATTCATCAAGATCTTGCTCGCTCTTTCCTACCTCAAAATGACTTTTGAGCTCTTTTCAACAGCTACTTCTCCAAATCCATACAACCCAACCAGGCCTCTGGGATCCGGCCCGGATAGGGTCTGGGTGGTGGAGGGAACCCAGCTGGCTCCAGCCTTCGGGAGGCTGCCTCAGGCTTGAGGGGCTGGATGGACAGTTCCGGGTTCTGGTGCAGACCTGGGCTGCCTACCCGCTGTGTGGCTTGAGGCAAGTTGCTTAGCCTCTCTGAGACTGAGTTTTATCGTGTGAAAGGCAGTCATGGTGGAGGGTTGTTAACTGAGAAGTACCATGTAGACGTCAGTAGCTGTTGCAGGTCTTGCTCCAGGGGCTCCAGTGATGGGCCAAGGGACATTGGGGCCCCAGCCAACCCTGGGAAAATGGCCTTTAATGTTGAATCGGTTGCTTTGGCTTCTGGTGGGGACCACTCCCTCGAAGTCAGCGAGGGGCCACCTATGTGGAAAAGGTCAGCTCTTTCTGAGGTCCCCGAGGGCAGACAGAGCAGCAAGCAGGAACTGCTCCGCCTGGCTGAGGCCAGCATTTACCTGCGAGGCCGTTTGATAAGGCTTATCGCAATGCCTGCAGACTGGTCACGGATATCCCTTCATCCCTTTCCTGCCATCCCACCCCTTCTGGCAGGGACACACCCACTACCCAGGGGCACCCGCCCCATTCGCCCCGCACTCATGGGGCCCTTTCTAGCAGAGGGGCCTCCTGCTAGTCTTTCATGTCTCTAGCCTCGGTTTCCTTTCTAAGAAATGGAAGGTGGGAGTACATAACAGTTGGTGCTCTGCGAAGAGTCAGGCTTAGGATAATGAAAATCACATCTATGGAGGACCTACTGTTTACATGCTCATACGGAAACCGCTCATCCCTGAAGCATAAGGAGCCCCCATTTTACAGATGGAAATACTGAGGCTGTGGAAGGTCGAGATACTATTTTACAGATGGAAATACTGAGGCTGTGGAAGGTCAAGATACTTGCCCAGGTCATACAGTGAATAGGGAAAAAGTAGCTTTCAAACCCTGACCCCAGAGTTGATGTTTTCTGTCACTGTGACCCCACAGCAGGCACCTTTACCTATTAACCACAAGTACCTGCCAGGCTTTGGTTTGTTGATCCTGGTTTGGAATGGTAGATGAGCTTGGGTAGCCTATAATTCCTCACTTTCTTTTTGTTTCTTTCATTCTCAAGGAATCCTCTTTCTTTCCCCTTCTCAATTATCTAGGCAACCTGGTGTTAGATAATTAAAGCCCCAAGTTCAGGGTTGTGGAGGCAACTGGCCTTCCTATCCCAGGTCATACAGTAAATAGGGAAAAAGCAGCTTTCAATCCCTGACCCCAGAGTTGATGTTTTCTGTCACTGTGACCCCACAGCAGGCACCTTTACCTATTAACCACAAGTACCTGCCAGGCTTTGGTTTGTTGATCCTGGTTTGGAATGGTAGATGAGCTTGGGTAGCCTATAATTCCTCACTTTCTTTTTGTTTCTTTCATTCTCAAGGAATCCTCTTTCTTTCCCCTTCTCAATTATCTAGGCAACCTGGTGTTAGATAATTAAAGCCCCAAGTTCAGGGTTGTGGAGGCAACTGGCCTTCCTATCTCAGCAACTAATCTCTGTTCTCCAGTCTTCACCAACTTATCCCTAACTGTAGCCAGCCTGTCCTGGCCACTTCCACAGCCTCTATGGGTAGCCGCGAAGGACACTCTATCTTTGAATGGACACAGCTTCCCTGTCTGAGCAACCAAGAACCTTCCCAGGGCTGGGGAAGCCTGAGGAACAATAGCGGGAAGCCAGGCCTCTCACTTCAAGGCCTGGCTTATGACAACGCCCAGCCCCGGGCCTGGCCAGGGCCCTCTGCTCCTGTGTTGAAACATTCTAGCTTATGATCGGCCTGTCCTACCTCTTCAGGGAAGCCGAGCCCCAGAGAGGGGAGAGAGCTGGCCGAGGTCACCCAGATGACCTGACAGGCTCTGTTATAGGGTACAGCCCACAGTAGATAAACACTGTCCTTGTTACAGGATTAAGCTCTGCTTCCCTCCAAGGGGAGTCTGGATTTGGGAGTATAGGGGTGGGAGTGAGGTCAGCCTGAAAGAGTGAAAAGAACCCTTATGAGTTTAAGGGAAGGCTTTGCTCTGGAAGGTTCCCCTCACCCACCCAACCAGGACCCCCACTACCATGGTCTGGCATAGTGGATAGGATCCTTCAGGTCCCCAGAGTCATTTAGGCCCAGAGGGGTCCCTGTGGTGTCTCTGGCCCCACAGAGAGTACTGTGTATAACCGCAGCCCAGGAATTTCCAAATCTAGCTTATGTAAGCAGCGGTAGGGCCAGTGGGAGTGGGGACAGCCCATTCTCACCCCACCCTCCAGGACCCCTTGGAAGAAAGGGGCGTGTGTGTGCATGCACGCACGCACACACACACACACACACACACACACATATATATATACACACAGTGCCCCAGGACAGAGAGAAAGGGAAGTGTGTTTCCTGACCTTTCCCTGGGGGTGGAATGTCACTAGTGACCAAGGCTGTGGGACCTGGCCCAGGCTGTGACCATGGTGACCAGATCATTGATCATCCAAACAGGGACATTTCCGAGAATGAAAGGGACTTCATTAATAATTATGCTAAAACCACAGGCATAAACTGGAACTGTCCCAGGCAAACTGAGACATTGGTCTACCCTAACATTACCCCTGTTGGCCTTAGTTTCCATTTCACTCCAGTCCTCAAAATCTGTGATTTGGCCTGAGAATTCTGATTTTTAATGGTCCCTTTTGGTGACACTAAGGATAACTCACATTTGCTTCATAATTACTACATACTAGTCACTGTTTTCAGTGCCTTCAAAGAACTCTCACTGAATCTTTTAAAGAGCGTTAGGAGGTGGCGGTGATAATAAACAATAACTATGGTTTGCTGAGAACTTACTATGTGCCAGGTACCTTGTGATGTGCTTTTCATGCCTCACCTTCTTTAAGCTTCACACTGACCGTGTGATGAGGTACTGCTATTATCTTTAAGCTTCACACTGACCGTGTGATGAGGTACTACAATTAGCCCCATTTTACGGATGAAGAAACTGAGGCACAGAGAAGCTAATTCCATTTTACAGATGAGGAAACTGAGGCACAGAGAAGCTAATCAGCTCATCCAAGGTTACAGAGCCAGTTTCAGACCTGGAATCAGAACCTCCCAGGCATGTGGTCTAAGCCTGTTTTCTTCTTTGATGAGAAAATTGCAAATCAGAGAAGCCTAGTGACTTAGGCCAGCTTACACAAGCTCAGGGCCTGAGTGGGACAGCCAGACCCAGGCTGTCTCTTGGGCTCCACTGCTGCCGATCACCTCCCTCAAACGCTGACTCTGAAAGACAGGGAGCGTTTCAAGGCCTTCAGCTGGCTCCTGGCACCCAGACAGGGCCCCGGAGACCTGCACCCTGCCTCTTAGTTCATGGTTATATTTGGGCCTGGGTGTGGGTGGGGAGCAGGGGTCAAGTACTGGGAGGGAGCCCCTCAGTGAGCAGGCCCCCGTATTGTCAGCAGTGGTGGGCATGGCTACAGGGAGGGAGATGGAAGAATAAAAATAAAACTTCCTGGGCAGCTGCCCAGTCAAGCAGAGAAGGTTCTGTTTCTCTTCTCCACCACCCAAGTCTAGAAAGGGTGACCAGCCCTCCCGCGCCCTCCCTGTGACTCAGACATGCCTACGTGGGCCAGGCCCTCCCCTCCACCTGAAAAAGAAGCTGTTTGAGGCAGGCTCTCCACTTTCTTGAGACTTTAGATCCCTGCTGGGGAGCATCCTCTGGGAATGAGAGGTGCTGTGGGGTCAGCCCAGAGCCTAGAGACCTGGGCTCAGATGCTAACTTTGCCACAGAACCCTGAGATATCTTCGGGAGACCCCTTCTCTTTCAGGCCTCAGTCTTCTCACCTGTACAAGGAGTCTTCGGGGAAGCAAAAAGTGTCAAGGCATTTCATAAAGTGTAAACAGCTGTAGGGAGGTGAGGGATGGCTATGATCAATCCTAAGAGCTGCCTGTGGAGGAGCCATGGGAGGAAATAAACACTAAGATGTTGAATGGGCCAGCACCCAACAACAAGGGGGCTCTCAGACAAGCCCCCAGGGGTTGTCAGCGGACCATGGTACTATCTCACTTAGATCTGGGGCTTCTTTTTCTGAAAGGGAAATAAGGGTGCTAGCTGGTAAAAGAACTCAGCGGGAAAGGATGACCCTTGGGGAACACTTGCCTAATTCCTGTCTGTGCTCCAGATGGAGAGGGGGATGGTCTTGTCCAGTTATGCCAGCCCAGAGCAATGTGGCTGAGATCCCGCCCCAAGCTGCACTGTCCCCTTTCCCAGGAGGATCTGTCTAGTTGAGGACCTGCTGTGTGCCTGCAGCTTTTCATGCATTCCCACAAAACCACCCTGCAAGACTGAGTTTTCATTATTACTTTATAGATGGGGAAACCAAGGCTCAAGGAGAGGAAACTTCTTGCCCAAGTTCCCTCAGTGGTTAGTGGCAGAACTGGATCTTGAACACAGGCTCATGGACCCCTGACATGTGCCTGGCCCCTGCCATCCCTGGCTCCCTGCCTCCCTGTCCACCCCTGGCTCACAGCCCCTGCTTTCTTCCTCTGCAGGTCCAGCCCCCAGCAAGGAAGCTGGGACCAAGGCCCGCTTCCCCCTGTCTGATGCTGTGGAGGAGGGAGCCTGGACAGCCTCGGTGGTGGACCAGCAGGACAATGCTCTCTCGCTGCAGCTCAGCACCCCCGCCCATGCCCCCATCGGCCTGTACCGCCTCAGCCTGGAGGCCTCCACCGGCTACCAGGGCTCCAGCTTTGTGCTGGGCCACTTCACCCTGCTCTTCAACACCTGGTGCCCAGGTGAGCCGCACTCCATCCATGGTCAGGTGGGAGACTGGCCGGGCTAGACCCACCCATGGGGACCACTGAGAGTGGGGGAATGGGGCAGAAGAGACATCAAAGTGGATTGAGCGAGGCCCACTCTGTGCAGCTCTGTGCTCAGCCTCTCAAAAAGCTTGTGATGTGAGGACTCCTGTTATTCCAACTTACAGAGGAAGAGGCAGGCTCGCAGAAGCAAAATAACTTGTCCAAGGCCACACACCTACCAAGCGATCTTAACCCATGTGTCAGTCCATATGTTCCCATGGTACTGGGAGCTGTACATGGAAATTGCCCACGTTCAGAAGCCCCATTCAGGAACGGGGTGCCCAGCGGATATGCAGGGCCATGGCTCCACACCTGTTTCTGTTTCATGGGGCTTTGTTCTAACTCTCACCAGCTTGGCTTGGGAGGAGAAACTGAGGGAGGCAGAGGGGTGCGGTAGCCAGGAGAGGTGGGCAAGAGCAGTCTGGTTACCTAAGTGCCTCCTCATATGCTCTCTCAATTAGTCCGCTCAACAATGCCAGGGGTAGAGGTCAGCGTCCTCGTTTCACAGACAGGAAACTGAGGCTCAGGGTGCTTAAGTGGCTTTTGGCAGCTCCTTCAATAAGTAAGTGGACAATGCTGGACAAAACTAGAAAGCCGGAAGCACCGAGGAGGGAGGGGCTGCCACACCCCTTCCCGGGCCTCAGTTTCCCCATCTGACTACCAAGGCGGTCAGATCTGTTCCCTTCTTGTTCCTACACAGCAATGCAGAGAAAGAGGCCTTGTGGGCAGGTCCCAGACTGGGAATGAGGGGTTCCCCCTCAAAGCCTGGGTCTGGGGCAGAAATCATGGCCTCTCCAGCATCAGAAAAACAGGGCTACTGCTTTATTTTTTCTTTTTCATTTTGGGGGCATTTTATAACATACTTGAGCAGAAAGATTTTTTTATTTTCTTTTTACATATTTTGGCTTTTATTTCTAAAGATAGCAGTAAGAGAAGAAGACATCCCCTTTGTAAAAAGCTTCAAGCACTAGAGAGAAACAGACCCCCGACTCCCCTCCTTGGAAACGCTGTCTCGGGGGTCTCGGCAATTTAGATCCGGGTGCACGTGCCTGGAGACATTGCCGTGTTATTGGGTTCCTCTGTCTCTCTTAAGCATAAAAAGATCCCACAGTCTACATCAACTGGGTTTGTTTTCCCTCTACGATACATCTTGAGGGTCTTACCACATCACCTGCATACATCTGCTCATTTTTTTTAAGAGCCCAAGTGTCCCTCATTTTGCTCATGTGGATGGTTCATTCAACGAGCCCCCCACCCATGGACATGAGGTTGTCCCCAGTGGCTCATCACGGGGAGGGAGTGACGACGAGCACTCTTGCTCCCGTGGCCACATGAAATGGTTTCTCAGGACAGAAGTGGCTTTGCTGGCCCTGCTGTTTGCTTGTTTTGATTTTTGACAATCTGCAGAATTTACAGCTGGTCGGCAGTCTGGCCTGTGGAGCAGGAACGTGCCAGTGTCCCCGTGACAAACATGGCAAAGTTTCAGAGTTCAGGGAATGGGAAGCAAGGTTCTGGGGGATGTCCTCCTCCCTCCGGAACTGTCCCCTCCCTGCTCAGTGGGTTGGTGTGGCGGTCAGCCAAGCAGCACAGTGACTAAAGTGACCCACATCCCAGGGTGGGAGCCTTGAGGAGGCGGTGGAGCTGGCGATGGGGAGGCAGGAAGTTGGTCTTGGTGGGGGCAGAGGCGCTGGGCAAGGTCACTGCTCTCCCTCTGTGGGGAGAGGGCAGGATCAGCCTGTGAAATGGGACCCTCCTGTTCCTGAGCTCCGACATGGACAGGATCAAGCACCATTTATGTGCAAAGTTTCTGTCCCCAACGCACCTACCTTTACCAGATGGTGACCTGAGCTGGAGACGTCAGTCCCAGTGTGCTGACACTCTCATTCCAACAGGGAAATACCATGGGTTTTTCCTTCTCTTTCTTTCTTTCTCCTGCACTGGCAGCTGATTTATAACCAAGTAGATCACTTATTGTAAGGCTAATTTTTATTACACCATTTTTGGAACTGAAGAGCAGGATACATAAGACACTCAGCCACTTTCACATCTGCTTTCCTCCATGCAATAAGAGTGGGGGTGCTGGTCACTGAAGATGGCCCCCACGGAGCCCAGAGCAGCTGCATTCTAGGCTCAGCTTTGCCAGCTTCTGGATGTGCTTTTCCAAACTGTCTTCAGTAGGCTCAGTGCCTGGGCCCACCATACTTTAAGGGGTCCATGAAAATGTGTTAATTTATTTGAAAACCAGAATTAAAAACTGAACATTTAGGCTAGATAATATTTTTAATATGTAATATTAATACATTCATCGTTATACCAAAGTCATTATAAAATATATTTTTAATATATTTTTTAATAGAAGAAGGGGCCCATGGAAGCAAAAATGCCCAGGGCCCACCAAAGGTTCGGAATTTCCCCTTTCCAGTCTCAGCTTCTTCATCTGTGAAGTAGGGATGGTAAAGATCAGCCTGACTTTGACCTCCTGTCATCTGGCCCCAACTACCTCAGCCCCCTTTTCTGTCCTTATTAGTCAAAGAAAACTAACCGCCCTGCATCTTCCAGCAGCTGCAACTTTTCTGTCTCTGGTCCTCTGCTTAGAATGTCATCAAGACATCAGATGCCACCTGCTCCCTTCCCCCCCACCCCCAGGTGGACAGAACTCCACCTCCACAGAGCCACAGTCACCCTTTCTTGGCTTTCTCTCCACCTTGCATCATGCTCCTTCCTCACGCTGGCTCAGGGCTTCTGCTTGCAAAGAGCTCCTTTCAAATCTGCAATAACATTTTACTCACAGGGAACAAGAGAGGTAGGCAGAGAAGGAGAAGTGACCTGCCCAGGGTCGCACAACAAGTGAGGATCTGAGGTAGGGGGCACCTGATTTCTGTCCAGGGCTCTGCTGTCTCCTGTTTTGGCGTCAGTTTTTCTATCTGTAAAATATTCTTGAGTCCCAATTCTCCCGTCTGTAAATGGGGCTTTCCTGAATCCCTTGCACATAGGGCTTTTGTGGAAAAAAGCAAGTTAATATATACCACACACTAAAAACAAATCCTGGCACATGGCAAGTTTTGGATAAAAGGCAGCCATTGTTGTCACTAACTGATAACACCTTATGTCGTTGACATGGGATTACTAATTCATGATTAGTTTTTTTTATTAAAAGATAGAAAGGGCTCTGAGATGCCGACCTGGCCCTGGGAAGTTGGTGCCCCGGCTGCCATGTCTGCGGGGACCCTGGGCCTCACCAGACCCAGAGCTGAGACCCCTTCCTTCCTACCCATAGAGGATGCTGTATACCTGGACTCAGATGAGGAGCGACGGGAGTACGTCCTCACTCAGCAGGGCTTCATCTACCAGGGCTCTTCCAAGTTCATCAACAGCATACCTTGGAACTTTGGGCAGGTAAGGCCACACCCTGCCCCTCTCAACCATCTCAGGCCCACTGTGTGCTGGGCCCTGGGTCTGAAGCGGTTAAAGCTGCAAAGGTATGAGTAGGTCTCAAGGTCATTCACCCCATGCTGTCAGGATTCAAGGGCCTTAAAATGTCTGGAGGCTCAGAGACAGCCTAGGTCTGGCCTGAAGTCATACAGCAAAGGGTTGCCCTACTTACCATGGGAGCAGCAGCCCCAG